AAGTAATTTTTTTTTGAATTTATCTAATAGTGACTTCTGTTATTTTCACCTTATGTATTAAACCATAAAATTTATATTTAAAATAATAACAAAAATATTTTGTTAATGTTTAAAACAATTACGTGTAATAAATAATTTTTCAAAAAATAAAAAAATGTATTTAAATGAAGTATCAAGTTATTAATTAATTAAATAAAAAATACAGTTATAGAATGCTCTTTACAGCATGACATTTTAAAAATTATTTAATAAATTAATTTTGTTTTTATAGAATAATCATAAAATTAAAATAATTACATCTTTAGAGTCTTTTGATCCAGAATATATTTATTTTGATTTTTATTAAGCAAAATAAGCATTATTAATTTTTTACTACAGCTGTTAAAATACTATTTTAAATAAATGAATCAATGTAAACAAAATGTTTTAAATTCTAACTTTTTAATTTATAATATTATTATGTTATAAAACTTAATGGAAGTTTAATTTCAAACATGATTTAATAATACAAATATTATTTTTAAAGTAATTTAATAAACATGGTAATAATCATCGTAACCATTGCTTTCCATATACCAGGACTACCGACACTTTAGTCAAACTGATGTCCCTATAAAACCTATATATGAAAAACAACCCTCATCACATTGAAACATGAAGTCCCGGGTAGTACCGTCCGGATTAAACACTGAACACCACTCCAAACACTTGGAGTTACATTTGATGTACTCTTGATCCGGGTTATGGCATTCAATGGGAGGGCGGACTGTTTGTAGGGATATCACAGGACAGTGACTATTGATTACACGGGCGTCGGTAGTATTTCTGTAAAATTATAATTAATTACACAAATAATACTGTAGTAACTACAGTGGTTTTTTTTAAAATGACCTTCGCGCAATAACGTACTATACAGTATACAAATAATTAGGGACTGACTTTTTGGCACACTGAAAGCGAGAGAGCTTATAATTTTTAATATTATTATAAAATATTAATTTTTTATTAATTTTATACAAAGTATGTAATATAGATTATATTTAAATCAGTTAATAATTTAATAATTTTAATTGTAATTACATATAAATAGCTCTCTCTCCCATTTAGGACCACATAATTGGGAGATAGCTATTTAAACATGATTTAAACTATAATTATTAAATTATTATTAATTTAAACGATAGTATATCATAGTCTTTCTATAAAAAATTAATAAAAAATTAATATTTTATAATAATATTAAAAATTATAAGCTCTCTCGCTTTCAGTGTGCCGAGTGTGCCCAAAAGTCAGTCCCATTACTTGGTGATCATTCTACAATTTAACGTAATATTAACTCATATTTTTTATATGGCATTAATAATTTATGACGTATACATTACAAGTTAGTATACCCAATATGCCCTACTATGCCCTACTATGCCCTAATATGTCCAGTATGCCCGGTGTGCCTGATGTGCCCGATGTCCCTGATGTGCCCTGTGTGCCTGATGGGCCCGATGGGCCCGGTGTGCCTGATGTGACCGATGGGCCCGATGTGCCCTGTGTGCCTGATGGGCCCGATGTGCCCGGTGTGCCAAAAAGCCAGTACCATTTTCAAAACTCTCGAACATTTCAATATATCGTTATCACAAATATCTATCAATAATTTAAGAAAATCAGTAAACAAAAATCATTAGACAAGATTTTAATTTAATATTTTTGTCAACGAGTAAAATGTTTATCTGATAACAATCCTTTGGCAAAGGTAAGGGTTTAATTGATTAGGTTTTTGATTTTAAAGTTATATTGACTTAGTCCTTTTTTTGCTCGAGCATTAATAGGAGATAAGACTTAATGTTTGACAAAATTATTAAACAAACACATAGTATTGATAATTTTAGTATTGAAATGTTCGAGAGTTTTGGAAATATACTCTTTTGTTGCTGAGTATCTTGAGCGCACACCGGTGTACAGTAACATACAGTAACATACAGTAATATTGTAACATATTGTACTTGATTAATACATTACCTATAGTCCAATACATAGTGCTTTGGACAGTATATAAGATAATCCGTTATTCCATTCACTCATTCATATAACAAATATCAGTTGAAATTGAATTCTTGCGTATTATTACATAACCATTATTGTATGTTCCAGTATTTTATTTCTAATTAAATTCGCCAAGTTAATTCATTTATATTCTATATTTACTCAAAAAATATAATTATATATTAATAGCTGAACAATGATCAAGATGATTTACAAGGGATTCGTATTATTAATCCTAAGCTCAACTGCATTCACGGCCAGAGATGACGTCCACGTAATTGACAGCAATATTAGCCCAGAAATGGAGGCTCACGTGATCAGCAAAATGATGGACTTTGTCTACAAACCCACTAATGAATCGTTGGCTGAACTAATGGTCAAGGAATTGGACACAAAGTACCCTGATCATATTGGGTGGATCGGACAGTCTATGGTGAACGCAAGCGCATCCCAGCTATATATGTCAGTGGAGTTTGAGTCTTATATTAAGCTGCAATATCGTGAATATGTGCTGGGATTATATAGGCCCAAACTAAATGAACCAGTAACACTTAAGCAAGTAAGTAGTTAGCAATGTAAAATAATTTTATAATTATNATATGTACAGTGTAACCCCAGTAAAGGTTTTTTAACAATAACTTTTGACACAGAGGTCACAGGTCAAATTTTCTCGATTCATATGAAATATCACAAAATTCCGGATTTCTTATATAAATATGAATGAAATCAAAAATTGTCTTCATGTGGTTTTCTTAGAAAAACCGTTCTAATCTATATTGGGAATGACTGTATGTGTCAATACTAACCAAATAATAAAATAGTCGTATTAATCTATATAATTTCTAGAAAATAATTTAATAAACTTACAGTTTTAAGCGATATCTATAAACCGAACATCATAAAAACATTAATAAAATGCTGTTTTTACAAATAAATTATACAATTGATTCAAATAAAAATTAATCCAGAATATATTTAATTCAATAATTTTTATACAATTTAAGAATTATTCATTTTTAATTACAGCTCTTATATCACATAAATGTACTGTATTGATACGAGGGCAATTATCATTCTTGGTGAAACAATCTTGGTTATCCGATTTTTCGCAACTATCCCTACAAAGGCTGCCATATTTATCCGGGTCTACATTTATGGGATTGGTCGCAATGTTGGCTACACCTCATTTATAGGACCTCCCGGCCGTTTGTTTATCATGCATTTGTCACGTTCTATGAGTAAGTTATCTTGATCTTTAATAAAATTGTAAACAATTTAATTTTGAATGTCTGACTTTTCATAATAGTAATTAGAAAAATAATAGGTTGGTTGACAAGGTAATTTAATTTAAAAATTTTAAAAATAACTACATACTGTATTTTAGCTTGTTAATAATAATTATTAAATTTAATATTACTAATTATACAATTAAGTGGATTTGTATATGTTAAATAAAAAATAAATTGCTACAACTGTAAATTAATTGATTTTTATTTTAAGATGATTAAAAACTATTACTTATATTACTTCTGGAAATGAATAGTCACTGTAATTTATTTACTGTTAATTTACCATAATTTTTAATTAAATCACTATTCATTATAATACTGTCTATGATTATAATTACAAACTGTAAAGTTTATTTTCAGCAATTTATATATTATTTATTATCATAATAATAATAAAACTTTGGAATTAAACGGAGACGTCAATTTTTAAAATTATGCCTTTGTCATTTTTATCTGTCGATTAACTTTGTAAATTTTTTTGTTGCAATTTGTTTTGACTTGTAATTCATATCGGTATACCCCGTGTAAATCAGTTTGATTATGTTACAATGTTATTTAGTTATAATGTGTATACGCGAGCCCACCTCGTAACTCTTATATCTACCATAGACCTTGGTGATACCCTGAACAAATTCACTTGCTGACATGAATTACTTGATTACTATAATAAATTAATAATGCATAGTATCTGGTTTTGCATAAGACATTGAAAAAGGTTTTTGTATTACGTTATTGTTGTTTATTGTGTTATTTGTCGTACACAACTATTACAGTACAAATGTTATAATTTACAATGCTAATAATATTACAATTTTAAATGTATTTATTTCAATTGTCCTTATATAATGTAATATTTATTTTTAACACAATTAATATCATACTATAATACATGTATTATAATAATTTGTATACCTGTGAAAATCATTAAGATCCATTAGCAACAATGTCACCAACACTATTTACAGAACTAAATAGTTTGTCAAGGCACAATTTTGTTTCCATTGTCAGATTATGTTCATGAACAAATTTAGTTACAGTGAATATACGCGTGTCCACACCGTATGTCTTATATCGATCACAAATTTTGGTGATACCCTGACCAAAATCAGTAACTGACATACATTGCTTAAAATTGATGATTACTCTATTCCCATCAAGATCCGTGCATAAGCCTGGTAAAATAAATATGTTATTGTTGAACGTATACTTTAGTTATTTCAAATGTGCTTACCACAATAAGTTTTTAAAAATATAAACTCCGTACGATCTGTACTATACAGCACACACTTGCCATTGACCTGACTTAATATGGCCAATATTACAAATAAGCAAGTAACTTTATCAAACATTGCTTTGGATTTGCGAAATATAAATTAGATTTAGAATAAAATTAAATAACAAGGCAACCGCTGCAAATTAAATGCTTGTAATTATTAATCAAATCTATTATATACTTTATGTTGTTTGTTCAGGATTCATTTTTAAAAATTTTAAATATTAATACTTTAATATTATTTGCAGATTTATTTAATTACAAAATTATGTAATTAACATTCGTGAAATTATTTTTGAAAATAAATATACAGTAGTTTATTTAGTTGTAATATTATATTGTTGCATTATCAGATTAATTTGCATTTTTATACTGAATAAACAAACACAATAAATTAAAATTTAGCAATTTCTTATAACGTGTGACGATTTGAACAAGGTTGAAAAACAATCCTTAATTAATTTGATTTCCGTATCAGAGTCGCCAGATTTATCCCGATTCTTAACAAATTGATCCATCTCATTTACACACACGTCCACTCCTTTAGCCTTTAACTCTGGCACCTGTTTCTTGATATCCTGGTTAGCCTTAGTGCCACTGACGCATGCCTTAAAATCATCAATTGCTTTGGCACCAGCCAGGTCCTTACATTGAGCTAGATAAAATATTTTTTAAAATTCAGTTAGTATTTTACTTTTTAACTTACCACAATGAATTAGTGACCCGAAGTTATTATTGCCAATATCCCATGATACGCAATTAATATTATTAATTAATATTAATACTCCAATAAGCGTGGTTAATTTGATAAACATGTTTAATATTTGATTGATTTTATGTAAGCAATGAGAAAATAAGGTTTTAATATAAATATAAATATGATTTTGAATTTATATAAAAAATATTCCTTTGTTATATTGAATATGATTTAATAACCGAGTCTGAATAAACATGCTTATAAATATAATTACTTTTATTAAATAATAATAGATTATTATTATGGAAAATGTATTTAATCAATGTTTTGAACAGGATATAATTTTTACTTTGTTGATTTAATAATAATTCATAATCAAAATATAAATAATAAAATTTTATATATTTTTATAATTACATTTATTCACCTTTGTGTGACAATTCGTATTATATTTTCATATACCTTTATATTATTGTTAGCATAACTTTGTAAACAAGACTTAATAAATTTATTAAATAATTAGTTCTATAGTATTATATTTATGAAATAAAACAATGTCTACATTACACATTTCTTAATCTCACTAGCTGTATTATTAAGTTTATCAAAACAACCTCGCACAAGTTTACTGTCTGCTTTGTTAGTAAGGGGGGTCACCCGTCCCATTATAATTAAGCATATATTTATACAATTCATTTACACACGTGTCCGCCCCTTTAGATACAAGTTGGTCAGCCTGGTGTTTTATGACACGAACCACATTTGCACCACTAAGGCATTGCTTTAATGTATTCACAGCTTTAAGGTCATCAAGGTTATACAATTTCTAATATTTTAAATTTTAACATATATTTATCAACATTAGAAATAGACTTACCGCAATAGAAAGTAAAACAAAATCCAGGTTCATTATCCGTAATCCATGTGATGTTAATTTTACCATCAACATAATAAGTTGTGGTTAAAATAAATGTAATTATTAATATTTTAATAAACATTTTAGCATTATGATTAATTAGGTTATAGTGAAATTAAATCATTAGCAACAATTTAAAATTATTTATTAGTATGTTTTTAAAAGTTTTAAATGCTTTATAATATATTTTTTATAACAAACTGAATAAATAATATGAGCCTTAAAGAACCATATAGGCGCTGGCTATTTTTTATATATAAATAATTAGTAATATTTTACTTGTACTCTGATAAGTTATAGTTACTATCTTACGGGAAACCTATGAATATTGTATGAATAATTCGATTTTGAGTCAAATTATTAATTAAATAAAAATAGCTAGCGCCTATCTGGTTCTTTAAGGCTCATATTACAATAAGTAATATAATTCATTGTATTTTTTATTAATTTTCTATGAATGTAAAAGTTCCCATTACGTATTTACAAATCATATATTAACTTATATTTTATATAATTTATATGAGTTATAAATAAATAAAGTATAATATATAGTTTATAATAATTGTAATTTTATCAAATTGCATATAATTACACAACTGTGAAGGTAATAATTTAGTAGAATGTAGTTAAATTAAAATTTGTAATTAATCAAAATATTTTTAATGAATATTGTAACATTAATTACTGTAAATGATAAACAAAATTTTAACACTTTTTAAGCACGCTAGTTTTATCTACTAGATAATCGAAGCATTTAGCAAAAATCTTGTTCTCTGATTGGGAACTTGTCTCATTTTCCCGGTTATTGCGCAAGTATTTAAGCATCTCGTTTACACAAGTGTCCGCCCCTTTTGCCACAAGTTGGTCAGCCTGCTTTTTGGCATCCTGCCAACTTTTAATATTGCTCAAACATTGTTTCAAAATGTTAACTGCTTTCAAACCATCAGGGTTTTTACATTCAGCTAGTATATAAAAAGATATTTATTTAAATAAATTATATTTAACATAAACATAAATAATAATAATAATAATTACCACAATATAAAGTTGGAAAAATGTACTGTCACCGTGGTTATCGCAGCTTATAGTATCCCAGTTTACATAGCTTATTTTACAATTAGCCTGGTAAATTATCACCAAAATAGTAGTAATTACAAAAAGTTTTATTTTCATTTTAAATTTAATAAAATATTGTACGTTAATAAAAATGATAATAATTTTATGAGTTTAAATAGTTATATTATTGTAACATTCAAATTTTTGACGTAAATTTATTACAAAATATGTATCGTATTATATTTTACTGTCAGTACCTTTTGTATAAATAATATAAATAAATAATTCAGCAAAATATGAATAAATAATACGACAATCAATATTATGAAAAATATTATTAAAGCTTATTTGTATAATAATTTATTTATAATTAAAAGTTGGATTAGAAATTCAACTATGTTTGAGCAGGGTATAATTTTTACTTCTATTTAATCCAAATATAAATAGTACTGTATAGCTTTTATCATTCAAATTTTAAAAAAATACATTTATTCACCTTTATTTGAAATTTATTTTTATATAATATACCCTATATTATATTGTTAATAAAATTGTTAGAAAGTAACGAGACTATTTAATAATTTTATTAAATAACTAATAATATTTTTAAAAAATAAGATTATGTATTAACAATTTGCACTTCCACATTTTGTAATCGCACTAGCAGTATTATTTAGTTTATCAAAACAACCTTGCACAAGTATATCATCTGCCCTATTAGTAGGGTCACCATCTGTGCCGTTATAATTGCGAACATATTTAAACAATTCATTTACACACGTGTCCACCCCTTTTAATACAAGTTGGTCAGCCTGCTTTTTCATGTCCTGGACCACTTTTGCACCACTAATACATTGTTTTAATGTATTGACAGCTTTAAGGCCATTAGGGTCCTTGCACTCGGCTAAATAATTTTTTTAATGAATTTTAGTTTTAACATTTACCTTGTAACATTATGCAGTATATAAACTTACCGCAATATATTGTACAACCAAATTCAGGCTCATTATCCATAACCCATGTGATATTAAGTTTACAATTAGCATGATAAATTGTAGCTAAAATAAATATAATTATTGATATTTTAATAATCATTTTAGGACAAATTTTAATTAAATTATAGTCAAATAATTATTTTTATAACTTAATAACTTTTGAATATTTTTAATGTTTTACAGTATAAGCTATATCATAAGCTGAATAAATAATATAACAATAAGTAGTGGAATGTATTGTATTTTTATTATTAGTAATTTTGTAATAATATAAAAGTTTCCATTACGTATTTATAAATATTATATAAGCCTCTATTTAATTTAATCTATATGAGTGTATGTATAATAGTAAATAATTAAATAATATAATTTTTGTTAATTTTAATTTGATTATATAGATTAAAATTGAATAACTGTGAAAATTACAAGTTGTTAAAATGCAGTTGTATATAAATAATTAATAGACATATATTTAAATTGAATACCTTAACTTTTATTGAATAGCAAGCAAAATTTTAACACTTCTTAAGTACGCTAGTTAAATTTAATATATGTCTATCACAATTAAGAAGAGTCGTAAAATCTGATTGTGAAAATTCATTATATTTGCGCAAGTATTTAAACATATCATTTAAACAAGTGTCCACCCCTTTTGCCACAAGTTGGTCAGCCTGCTTTTTGCCACCCTTCCCAAGTTTGGTAGTGCTCATATGCATAATAATATGCCAAAAAATATGATTCTTAATTTATGAAAAAAATGTTATTACGACATGTTTGGCAATATTTTGTAAAATAAAATGTTTAAAATACAATAAATATAAAATTAAATTTATTCAGTTACTTGATATAAACAAGGTTGACAGTTTTGTTATGTGTTATGAACGGGTATCCATCAACGTCAAATAACTAGAATAAAATCATAAACAAATAATTAATTGTATTTCTATGAGTTTTGTAATAATATAAAAGTTACCATTACCTATTTATAAAATTATATGTTACCTTATATTTATATATGGTTTATATCAGTGATGTCATAATTTAGATGATTAAACTATTTTTTTTTGATAATTGTAATTTTATCAACTTACATCTAATTAAGCAATTTGAAAGTTAACAACTTGGTCAAATAAAGTTTAATGAAAANATTTAGATAATTAAACTATATTTTTTTGATAATTGTAATTTTATCAACTTACATCTAATTAAGCAATTTGAAAGCCTGGTCAAATAAAGTTTTAAGAAAATAATTAATAAACATATTTGAAATCAAAATCTTAACTTTTATTAAATAACAACAAAATTTTAATTAAAAATATATATATTTATATAAGAAATATCAATAAGTACTTACACAAAATCATATCGAAATAATTATTTAATAATTTATAAATTTATATTGTAACTTTATGCAATAATAAGGTTCTACCCCAAAAGGCCTACTTTGACATAAAATCTAAATATCTTTAGATTCACTACATTATTGTGGACTAAAGTTTAAATTTAATCTTGCACAATAGTATTACATAAATTACGCTAATATATTTGACGTTATTTATGCAATATAAGCATTTATTGCATTATTGTTGGTGAAATTTTGATAAATGTAAATAAACGTAGTTTGGTAAGTAAATAAGTTACGTAAAATTATTCTGACGTAATTTATGACTAAATTAATAAGCTCTAAACTTAATTAAACTTAGTTGATACGTTTAACACTTTTAATTAATAAATAATTTCGAATTTGGTAAAAGTAGGCCTTTTAGGCCGTAGGCGTTTTGGGTGAGGCCGAATAATAATATGCTTGACATTTTAATATATGCGTAAGTATTTAATGAATAATTCCCACAAATATATTTAATTTTTAAATTAATATTATATTTAATTAAAGCACTTAGCATTTGGTAAGGTGGTCAGTTGAATTAGCTAGATTAGTGAAACAATTTTCAACAAGTTTTTCATCAAACTTTTCCGCGTAACCACGCTTATATTTAACCATCTCATTTAAACACTTATCAAACTCTTGATTACCAACTTGGTCAGCCTGCTTTCGGAAATCTACACCAAGTTTTGTTCCGGATAAACATTGCTTGAAATATGATATAGCCTTGCTACTATTATGGTCCTTGCACTCAAGCTCGCCTAATAATT